GTTTTAATAGGTTCACAAGTTGAAGAGGGTGAGTACAGGAGTACACCTTAGACAAAATGCAAGTCTACCACAGGCCTAATACAGGAAGTCACACAACCATTCACAAGTATTGCTAAGTTAGAATCACAGTTTAAACTAACAGGTCTGGGTTCTTGCTGAGATGAGTATATACTAACAACTACTACACTGTGTGCACCACTGCATGAGAAAATACCAAATCTGAAACATCAAAGAGCTTAAGCGTGGACAGACTGACATCGACATTCTGAACAAAGACCTTCTATAATCTGTAACGTCTCCAACATATCTTAAGCCTCAGTTAAACATGTTATTTGAAATGATAAAAGTACCTCAAATATTCAAGAGTGACATGTAGGCAATGTTCCCTGCTCCCTGAGTTTTATGGGCAACAGACTGAAAAATGTTGTTTTTAGGCCTCACCGTGTCACTCTGTTCATTCTTACACTCCTGAAATATGCTGGTTAGATTACCATGACGCCCTGCAAACAAATACATTTCTGATGCTGTTGCCACATCATGTGACACCAAGTGGTGACACTGTGACAACATTGCTCTGTGGCTGCAAAAACACCAGACTACACATAGTTTTCTGCAGTCACACTATGTAATACGCATTTGTTTTTTAAACTAACATGTATCATATCAAAGTTGGGGTAATTTTCTTTTAATACAACTTTATCAACAATAATTTTGTTAGAACATGAACGTAATTTATTCCCAACATTGACAGAGGCAGCCACTTTTATGTTAATGTTAAATGACTTGAAACTTTAAGTAGACCCAAGAGACAATAGAGGATGTTATCACTACGTTCCTCAACTAAATTTTGCTTGTTGTGTCAGTCGATAAACTGAATTCATGAAGTCACTAAAACTGAATCAGTTTTAGTGACTTCTAATGACATCGTGACAAAATATCAGTTTTTAGTGACTTATAGTATTCTGGAGATTCTCAGGGAGCATTTAGGGCTTTTTTGAATTTGAGTTTCAAATCGGATATTTCGCAAGAAAATGTTGTTGTTCGAACCTTCCAGGCAGCTGAGACTTTTCTGTGTGTTGTTTGTTTTCCATGTACTTATGATTCTGTTCAGGTATTCTTGCTTCCTCCAAATGACATACGTGTAAATTCGAGATTCTAGATTGGCCATAGGATGTAAATTTCTTGTCTGTCTCCCTGTGTCAGCGCTGTGAGAGACTGGAGACCTGTCCAGGGTGCTACAAGTGATCTGGGATCAGCTCCAGGTCCTTTGTGATCTCTACTTGGTCATTTTAAGAATGCTTTGATAAAAGTTAAACTTACATAACACTGTGGGGACATCAAAAAAACTGATATCTATATTATTTTAAGTTAATATGGTAAAGGAATATTATGAAATGTGTTTAGATTACTTTAAGTGAGAGTTGTGAGATGAAAACAACAAACGTTGGAGGCTTGGAGGGAAAAGTGTAGTTTCTAAACGAGCTAATGAACAAACAGCTAATTTATTTTGTCTAGGACTACTAATGCACACTGTGAGTCATGTCTTTTTCCAAAAAAGCAAGGGCAACAATTAGTCGGTTGTTACAAAACATTTATTTAAAAAGAAAAGGTGAACAGATCACGAATAACAGGTTAAGAATGGTTTAGCTGTGAGCAGTTGTTAAAAACACATTACAGAACTCAGCACCGTGAAACTCAGGGGCTTTTGTTTCAGACGCAGCCAGAAAGAGTGAAGCAATTGCCCCAAGTGTAATAGAAGAATAAAGAGAGGACAGATTTCTTGAGTTTAAATGATTCACTTTTACTTGGCCTTCAGCTGTTTGGACCATTACACAAGGTCACAAAAGCTGAATCATTTTGTCTGACAAAACTGCTCTCCTTATTATGGAGTACTAGAAACAGCGTAAGCATTTTCTTAACATGTTACTGCTAAAATTTATATGCACATATGTTACAGTATGCAGTAAGTCCATCAATAAGAAATTATAAGTTACTCCGGCTATAACCGACAACCTCAACCGGTTACATGACAAATTCATTCCAAGAAGCAAACCTCTTACAGGAGAAAAATAACACACAAAATTCCTATTAACAGGTACAGTTATCGCTCACTGTGCTATGAGATCATCTACAGAGAAAGTGAATAATCAACTGTAGTGTCATTTCCTCTATTACCGTAACTGCTATAAAGGAAGCTAGTCCTTTTGTATAACAGAATACGATCGATACATGGATGGATTATGAGTCAGCACCTCAACAAACAAATCAAAGCCCCAGGAGGATTATTTGTTATTGTCTGTTCCTGTTTGAGGTTATTTAGACTCTTCTTTTATGTCTTCAAACCAACAAGAAATATTAGAAGACATATTTTCCAACAAGAAATATGAAGCTCGAGCTCTCTTATCAGTCACTTTTTCTTGTTTTGTGCTCATATAGTTCCGTCTAATGGTCGAAACATATTTTGCTGAAAATTTAATCCATCCATTTTTTTTATGCTTAACCGATTCAGGGTAGGGAGACCTAGCTATAGAGGAGCTCATTCCAACTGTCAAAGGGCAAGAAAATTTCATTATAACAAGTAAAACTGAGGGGAAAAAAATAATTATGACATTGTTTACTGACAGGTTCAATGCAAAATACATTAACATTCCCAATAGCCATCACTTAAAAAATGTTAGTTCAGTAGTCAGTCAGTTTCCACTCCACTGAATATTAATGATACATGCAATTTCTAGGCAAAACAGTATACTTTTATTTTCTGACCTTGCTGTCTGTCATTTGTGGAAAATGTGTGTGTTGACGTCAACTATGCAACACTTTGTTTTTCTGTAAAAAAACAAAGTGTACAGAGCAGTTTGTCGGCACAGCAGCATTATAAACTGTGTTTAATGAGCCAGAGCAAAAATGTAGAGCTCTAAAGAGAAAAGAGAGTAGGAAGCAGGATAAATGTACCAACCATGACTTTGGCTTTGAGCTGTGCAGGGCCCGAAAGATGAAGTTCTGGGTGAGTAGTGTGTTTTTGTAAAGGATTGAAACATTGTTACCACTTATATACTGAAAATCTGCACTCATACTCTAATGTGTATTTGTGTTATATTAAGAAGCTGGTCAACTGGTAGAGTATGCTTGCTTGGTACGGTTTCAGTGAACAAAGTTATTTTGTAAGATTTTTAAATGGCTTCTGAGGCGTTATCTCTCTGTTTCTTGGACAGTTTCTGGAGGGATGACTGGCAGGCAGGCAAGATTCTGAAACAGCTGTTAGTGCAGCAGTGCAGGGACAGAGTTTGACAGGTCTCAGGTACGTTTTGCTGGCAGTATTCATGAGTCTGGATCCAGGAAGAAAGGCTCATAAAGTGGTTTTCCAACTGCAGACGGATAGATGGAGTTACTGTCCAGGAGAGGAGACTCTGACACGGGAGGCCAGCAACAAACTCTGGCCCACAACCTTCTACCTGCGACTTAAAGATATAGGTTTCTCAAACAGAAAGAGAGAGAAAGGAAAGAATGAAGAAAAAACCTCCAGCCTGTAAGTATCATTATAGAAGTTTGTATTTGTACAAAATGCCTGGGCACCCACACCAACAACAGGCCAACACAGAGCCAGTGTACAAAAAAGGGGGCTTTCCTAAGGAGGCTTCCATGCGTGCAGCAAAATTATGGAGATGTTTTGTCACTATGCTGTGGCTAGGACAGTGGTCTTCTTGGGGTGCAGCATTGGAGCTGGTGACACTAAGAAACTGAATAAACAGAGCAGGAGACCTGGATCTTAAATTGTAATTGGCTGCAAACTGGACCCTCCCATCGAAGCTGCGGTGGAGAGGAAGTAACATCAGTCATCAGTTATCCATCACGGACAATCCTGACCACCACTGCACCTCTTACTGAACAGGCCCAGGTTGAAAATGTTTCTTTCCACCTCCCCTAAGACATAAGTTGAAAATCTTTTACACCACATATGATCACCTATAATGCAATATATATGTGAGGTGGAGAGTCATCTGCCAGATATGTTATTTTTGTATTACTTGTTATTTCATAATCATTTCAACTGCTGGAACAAATACTACTACTACTACTACTAATAATAATAATAATAATAATAATAATGGGAATATGGGATAAATAAAATAGGTCTCATCTCGTCTGTGTAAATTTTTTGGCTTTTCATATAGCTCCATCTAGTGGCTGATACAGATATCGCGGTAAATGACATTATGAAAAACAAAAAGGTAAAGTAATATTTCTGACCTCTATAAGCTCAATTAAAAAGTAGTAGCCGATAGAAAACATCTTTAGGAAAAACTTAATATTTGTTTCGGTGAAAACAAACAGGTGTACAGTTTAGTTTAGCATATCGTGATTATATTGTTCCGTTACGAAAATAACCCGGAAGATATTTTATGTGACCGTTTGAAGTCGCTAATGTTGCTAACTTGGTTAGCGTGTGAACGGTTTCAGCCTACGTTCAGTCGTGTGCTTGCTTTAAAAATACACACACACACACTATATATATATATATATATATATAAACTATAATCATTTCCGGGTCAGCTTTTACTGTCGATACATAACAGTTTCTCTCACCGACTTGTCACCCGTCACAGCTTTTATGTCCGCTCCTCTGCTAATTGCCGCTGTTGTTGGCGGTGGGGTCCTGCTTCTCATGCGGCGTTTATTCCCCCGTCAGAAAGCCGTTAAGTTGCTCCGTTATTCAGGAGAAAATATGCGAGGCAAGACAGTCATCGTGACCGGGGCAAACAGCGGGATAGGGAAGGCCCTGGCCGGGGAGCTTCTGAAGCTCCGCGCCCGGGTCATTATGGCTTGCCGGGACCTGCGGAGCGCCGAGGAGGCAGCCCAGGACATCAAGAAGCAAGCGGGACCAGAAAACGGGGAGGTGGTCATCAAACACCTGGACCTGGCTTCTCTTAGATCAGTCCGAAATTTCTGTGAGGAGGTGACTCAGGTAAATGAGAACCCAAACAAAGCAAGAGAGTAGATGTTTGTAGTTTATTTACCAGCTGTGGTGCACTTTGTTATTGAGCCCAACTCAGCAGAAAAAAAACAGGGCATTGCTCCAAGGGGACTGTCCTTGGTGCTGAAATTAAGTATTGGACCCCAAACCCACATTTACTACAGATGCAAATAAACTATTGTCCAACAGGGGCCAGTCTAGAAATGTTGGTCTCCTGGCAGATGTTAAGAGTTAATATCCAATTTTATTGTAAGCTTCAGCAAAGACGATACTGTTTAACTGTAGCAGTGATCCTTGAAAGGCTTCAAGTATTTTGTTTATGTGGTCCGATATCACAGATTTTCATCAGGTGGGTTTACATTTCATACAACAAACAATACTCTGTGTGCTTAGACTATTGAGTCACAAATGAGAGTAAACACAGGAGGAGCCAAAAGCTTCCTATACATTGATTACTGTGCAAAATTTTGAGCCACCACTCATTTTCTTATATTATGCTTCCAATGAGCCGAAAATTTTTTCAGTTCACTCTTTGTATCTGATCATTTTCAGAGCATTCATTCTAGCATAAAAAAAGCACCCAACTCAAGAGATGAACCAGTGTTATTGCTACACATAATGGCACATACTGTCAGTCTTTCATAACAAAATGTAACATTTCTTCTCATTTCTTAAGTTGAATATACAAAAATGCCAAAGATAACACAGTTTGACAGGCATAAAATAATATTATTGTACCAACAAGGTGATTGCCAAAGAGCTGTTTGTTGAAAACTTGGCATATCTCAGCAGTGTGTCCTTAAGAAATTTGAGGGAGCTGGACAAGTGGTGGGGAAAAGCGGTGGGCCCAAAAAACTGTCTGCAGCAGATAAAATAATGTACTTAAGAAATAGGAGAAAAAAATCCAGGAAAGAACTGACACACTGCCAGTGCAGACTGGCCTCCCCAGAGTTCAGACCTCAACATTATTGCAAAGAACAGAACAAAAGGCAGCAAACATCCAAAGAAGAGCTTCGAATGTGCATCAAGAATCCTGGAGAACTATTCCTGAAGACTACTTAAAGAAATGAGAAGAAAGCTGGCCTAAGAGAGCTCAGGCTGTGTTTAAGAATAAAGGTGGTCATACCAAATATTGACTTTCAAACTTTTTAGGATTGTGAAAACTCAGCTTTTGCTCTATAAAACAGTGTTTTTCTATATGTTATACACATTTTTCAATAAATCTCTTCACCAGAGCAAACTTTTAAGAAATAAAGGGTGGCTTGACACTTTTGCACAGTACTGTAATAGACATTCAAGATGGTAAATTCACAATGCTGTATTAGTTTGATGAAGAAAAATTGTAACCACAGGCTATTATAGCATACCATTCCATAATTAATATAATTAAATGATAAAGACATACAATCTAATACAATTCAGTATAGCCTCCGCTATTAGAAAGTTTTATCGTTTCTATTTTTTTCTGTAATTTAAAAGTTCATATTAAACTATGTTTCTTACAGAAGTTATAATTAAAGTTACAGATTAACTGTATTGTTATATAACACACTGAAATGCTTTGGGGCTTTATTTTTGTCCTTCCTTCTAGCATTCAGGTATAATGTCTTTATAAGTACACATCATAGTTTAAGTCAAAGTGGTTTAGGTGTAAAACATTACTTACTCAGAAATTTGGCAGATACCTTGTATAACCACTGGGTGTCTCAGGGAGATCTCTGCAACCCAGAATGTGCTATACTTTAAGTTTTATTAAAATAGGTATTATATTAATTAACTTAACCCTTTATTTACCACAGGCCCGCCGATGGGCCCATTTCACAAGCATTCTTAACCATGACCATAACTCAGTTAACATTTGAGTTCGTGAAAAAATTCAAATGGTTTCTGAAAAATCTGAATTATTTTCTTTTTCATTTTACAGCTGAAATTATAAATTAGGTCATTTAGCCTGTAGAAGTCGTACTCAGCAAAGGGATGAAAAGTTTTTGGCTTTTCCCCTAAGAAGAATCATTAAGGTTGTAATAAAAATATTTTGTAATGCTTTTTTTTTTTTTGGAGTATGGGGTTATTTATTCAAGCATAAATTGCATTTGTGTTTCTCAAGTGAGTGAAAATTGACAGAAAAATGCATACTTTTTGTTAAATAAGATAATACAGACTGATTGCCTTCATTATACTCAGACCAGCCCTGCTCATGTGCATTGTCACACCATAACTGCCCATTCTAAGGGAAGAAAAAACTTATTTAAGTTGTTTGGTTAAAATTTGATCTTTTGTTATGCATATGGACAATTAATGCCTCTGGATGCTGGAGAAGCTGTAATAAAACCTTAATTGGGGTCTTAAATGTTTCAAATGTATCTTTGTTGTCAGGAGGAATCCCAGGTTGATGTGCTCATCAACAACGCTGGTATTTACCAGTGTCCCTACACAAAGACAGACGAAGGTTTTGAGATGCAGCTCGGTGTGAATCACTTGGGTCACTTCCTCCTCACTCACCTGCTGCTGGACCTCCTGAAGGCTTCGGCCCCTAGCCGCATCGTAGTGGTTTCCTCTAAACTTTACAAATATGGCCACATCAACTTCGATGACCTGAACAGTGAAAATAACTACAATAAGGCCTTCTGCTACAGTCAGAGCAAACTGGCCAACCTTCTGTTCACGCTGGAGCTGGCCCATCGCCTCGAGGGGACGGGGGTCACAGTCAATGCTCTCACCCCGGGGATCGTGAGGACCAGGCTAGGCAGACACATCCAAATCCCCCTCCTGGCAAAGCCGCTGTTCTACCTTGCCTCGTTGGTATTTTTCAAGAGTCCATTGGAGGGGGCCCAGACTCCTCTCTATCTGGCCAGCTCCTTAGAGGTGGAAGGAGTGTCGGGGAAGTGCTTTGCTAACTGCGAGGAGGAGGAGCTGTTACCCAAAGCTACAGATGAGGAGGCAGCCAAGAAACTGTGGGACATAAGCAGGAGGATGGTTGGACTCGCTGACTGAGCAGAGTCCAGCTCTGTGGATGGAGTTTGGGGAGTGGACTTAAGTGTTCTTGGACCTGATAGCTAATCTCTTGCAGCCCCACAGACACCATTCTAGAAGCGTACACTTGCAATAAATAAAAGAACGATTTCCATCCTGACGATAATAACATTAATTGAAGAGCATATTGTAGAGTGAAGTGCGATAGTGGTGTGTGTGCAAGAGTGCCACAATGCTTAGAGATTGTATAAAGATTTTAATTTTAAGGTGTGCCTATCAAAGTGATGTTTAAAAAACAATAAAGCAGTGTTATGTGAAATAATCTGCTTACATCTCAATAACCCTCCAGGTTTGCTTCTCCCCTAATTTTTAATAAGCTAAATAGCTTTCCAATTTCCACACCATTTAAGAAATCAGCTTGCAGACAGCCGTAGCAGGGTTATATAAGTGCATGTAAACAAACCCTCACTTCCTAGAAAGACTCAGCAGGGGGAGAAACATTTCCCTGTCTCTGACAAAAACATTTCATAGAAACAGATGTGAAAATTAACTCTAAACTTGATAATTTACTATATTCTGTAATGAGTCTAATGCATAGATTACAGTTTTGTGTGTTGACCTAGAGTCAGACAGGCATCCTCGGGTCAAAAGGAGCAAAATCTCGGGTGCATCGCCTCAGAGAGTTCTTCAAAGCTATGCTGAGTTGTCACATTTTCCCGTCAGTGCTTGTGCTCTGCAGCTCTTGGAGTGAAACGTGTATCTGTTTCAGGTTCAGCTGTGGTGTTGGAAAGCTAAATTTTTGCATGCTTTAGCATCTGCTTTGCTGTGCAGAGGAAGGAGAGGTGGTGGAGTGATAGCAGTTGATCCAGTTCCCTTCATCTTGATGTGTTTGAAGTGTAAATGCTTTCTGCTAGGACAGCAAGGTTAGCGATGCCGATCGGTGAGCTGCTGCGCTGCAACTCCCTCCTGCGGATGGATTGAGAGTCCTCTTACCTCATTTTTATTATTTAAAGTTCAAAGGCATTTGAATAAATTCAAGAGCATTTCCAGACCATTTACTCAATTGCTAAGTGTGCTAAATGAACCAGTTTTCAAATGATACCAAAGGGTATTTAGAGAAGGACTGCAAGTAATCATTTTCCTACCAGAATAATCAATTTTTCCCAGTTAATCGATCAAATGAAAACTATCCTTCATGATATTAACATGCCATCGTCTTCAAGGAAGAAATGTGGTCGGGGAAAAAAACCTGAATGATTGTGAAATCAAGATCGAAACACCAAAGCTGGACTTTGGAGATATGGAAAAAAGGTGATGTGGTGTGATGAGTCTGGTGAGAGGGGTTATACTCTGGTGATTGACAAATCAGGACAAGAACAGACGTGGATGAAGCACTTACCTTACAGGTCTGTGGGGGTAGTGTGTGGGGTTGCTTCAGTTGGTCAGGTTTAGGTTAGGCAATGCTATGTACCCAAAAGAAGGAGGTCAGCTGACTACCTAAATACACTGAATGAGCTGGTTTGGCCATCAGTACTTTTCTTCCAAGGTGACAATGTCAAGGTTTAATTGGGATCAAATTGAAAAACAGTCGCTCAGAGAGCGGGAAATTTACTTTTTACACATATATTGGTTATCACCGAGTCCACACTTTAACCCCACTGAGAATCTCTTGGAGACTCCCATCATCAGTACAGGACTCTGGCGAAAAATGAAATCACATCGCGCAAGTTGAATGAAAAAAACGCCATGGTGATTATGTGTTATCACCAAAGCTAAAGGTGGTCCAGAAAAATATTAGAACGTGACTTTTTTCTTCTGTTGGTCAGGCAATTGGTCAATATCTGCTGACTAATATATCAGTCAAACTCTCTATTTTTAGGTATTTTGTCCAATTCCTATTTATTTAGTGCTTGGCGTGGCACTTTTAATACGTCAAAGGGGAGTATACCATGATATAATTTTCCTTAGTAGCTCTAAATTAGTTCGTTATATATCACAGACACTCACAGAATATGATCCATTTCCTTTTCTGTAGTATTTTCTTGATGATGACTCCTGGGAAAACACAAATAAACTTCCTCTCTGTTCTGAATTTGTTGGCAAAAATCCTTCTTTACTAACCTATTTTTTGCAATTATTTTTTTCCCAACAGTGAAAAAGCAGAGCTACTTAGTGACTCAGCAATCTGAGTCTGAATAATGAAAGGTCTTCCACTGGGTTCAGTCAGTCAGCTGAACACTGCGGATCAGCAGACATGTAATTATCATGAAACAACAACCGATCGCTATGCAACTGCGTGAAAGATATTAAAACATGATATCGCTTTTATTCAGCGGCATTTCAAATCCCTAAATGTGTACATTAAAGGCTGGGAGCTTGTATGTATAATTTGTGCTTTATTAGGCGAACAGAACAACCAAAATATATAAACATGCATCGTTGTGAAATAAACAGGGTTACAGTGGTTTGGTGGGGTGTGGGCATCCAAATCTGAGGTAGAAAGGGGACAGGAAACCTCTCTCTTGGGGGATATAGAAGAGCAAAAAAAAAAGCAATACTGACTGGTAAAACAGATCAAACGTTCCATCAATAACAATAAAACACTCCCATCAATACTGTCAAATCCATTTAACAGAAGGAAAACCAAAACAAATGTCTCATGGTTCGTTTAAGGTACTAATTTGTCTTTGTTTTTTCGCTTCCTTTCAACACTTGTATGTAAATCATCACAAGGCCATCGCTGTTCCAGCAGATTAAAAATAACGGCTGAAACAAATCTCTGTGCACGTCAAGGGGCAATTAAAATACCTCTCTCAGGGTTTTTAGAATAAAGCAGTGGAAGATTTTTTTTAATTTATTTACAAGTTCCAGAATTACCAATAGGATTTTGCACTGTTTTTTAAATGTATCTCTTGCTAACAGCTACATACAAAATATATCACTCAATTTTAAGTTAGTATATATTTGTACATTTGTAGTTTAACACGTACACATTCTCAAAAGTTTTAAGGACTCTGTGAGCTCCTCTTTGTCTGTTTCCCCACATCTGACCCCTAACTTGACTTACTGCCTTGAGAAATTTATAATGTAAACAATTGCCATCCACTGCCGCGCCATCAGTGCTTTTAAATGATCAGCAATAGTTACGTGTTCATGATACTGAAGATCTCCTGGCTTCTATTCAAGCCGTCAAAATGGCTCCACTACGAGAAGGTGTAGCTGAACAAACCAGGGCTCTGTGTCTACTATTGAAGATGCAACCTGATTGGAAAGTCCTTCAGTTCAGAAGTGTTCCATAAAGCTGCGCCTTAGTCAGACTGTCCTTCCTGGAAAGTCCCAGGGAGCCAAATTTTTGGTTGTACGGAGGAGGAGGGGGTGGGGCTGGTGGTGGCGACTGGCTCACCTGTGCAGGCACGCTGTGCATCTCCACTTGATAGTGCTGCAGTTCTGCAGCCATCTCCAGAGATCTCTGGTGAAGAGACTCGGTGGAGCTGTTGGGGCTGGGGTCTACATAATCAGTGCTCTGGCCTCCAGATGCGACATTTCCCTCCCTGTCTTTAGAGCTCCCTGAGTGGTACAAGCTGTGCTCTGACCCCTGACTGTCCTCAGCTCGGTACAGGTGAGCTTGGCTGTGAGCCTGGCGCAGCCCTGGGCTGCATTCGGGACTGGGGCTGGCAGCTGCCCACACTGGGTCCATGACATCCACTCCGTGGTGGTAGTAGTCAGCCCCTTCCTGGAAACTGCTGTAGAGTGGCCCAAGTCGAATCTTGGCGGGACGGACGGAGAAGTGCTGCTCCGAGAAGCTGTAAGGTGAGGCCCGTCCTGGGCTGCGGTAGGTGTGAGCACTTAAGTCCTCCACGCTAAGTTGTCTCCACCGACCAATCAGCTCCTCTTCCTCGGGGGCCAATGTGCTGCCTCTACGGCTGTCTCCATAGGCGACACTTGGGGAGGAGGACGGGGGGAGCGGCTCATAGGGCTCACTGAAACAGGAGGACATGGTACGGCTGTAGACGGGAGAGCTGCCGTTCTGATGGTGGCTCAGCTCTGTCTGTTGGAAGGGATGAGCATTGGCAAAGCCCCGTGGACTGTCCCTCTCCCAGGATGAATCACTCTTTCTCTCATAGTCCCCTGCATCCCTCCATTCCATGTAGAGGGAGTGATGGTGGGGGGAAGAAGCTGCACTGCTGGGCGGTCCGTTGCCTTTGTCCTCAGACCCCCCTCCACTAAAACTCGAGTAAGAACTGGAGGCTGCACCCAGTGGGGGAGGGAACTTAGCAAAGTGCTCCTGGGAGAAGCCAGCTCTCAACCCAACCGAACCTTCCTCTGGAGTACTGTCGGTGGAGTTCTGGGGCCCGTACAGCAGCTTCCTCTCACCGTGAATATCCATGCTGGGCCTCCGCTCACGGTGACGGTCATCAGGGCAATACAGGGCTGTGTCACTGCTGTACAGGTCAGTTTTATAGGCTCCGCGTAGCCCCAAACGCTCTCCGGGACCCAAACTCTCCAAAATAAAGGCATGTTCCTGTGTTTGCGGGCTGGGGGAGCGGGAGGCCTGGCTGCTGCTGCAAGCCTCATCTGGCTTTTCAAGCACTTTGGCAATGAGAGAGGTCGGGACAGAGTCAGAGTAGGTGTGACAGAGGGGAGACTCCTCCAGGTGCATGGTCAGGCGTTCCTGGAAGTCAGCAGGCAGCTAAAAGTATCAGAGAAACAAGGGTAAAGCAGGGAAAATCGGTGAATGTTAGTTATAAATTATAGCAAAGACCTTTGCTATAAACCTTTATTTAGTTTTTTTTTTAATGCATGGTCATTTGTTTGGTTCTATAGCTACTTTTTTCTATATGAAAACAGAACACCAGTGAATGTCTTTATTATTCGTCCATTCTATTTTTATTGAGACTAATATTTTGCAGGTGGATGTACACACAGACCAGCAAGCATGATTGACACCCTGATGCTGTCTCCAAAACTGAACCACAGATGGATGTTGACACTGCTTCCACAAACAACAGACATTAGATCAGATTATTGCAGTGAATCCATCTTTGTTTTGTGCTGGGTGTTTTTAAAAACAGAAAATTAATCTGCCCATATGGAGAAGATATATATAAATCTTATAAAGTTTGTATCTGTCTTGTGTGAAACTTGTATGAAAAGCATACAAGAGTGAAAACAGATATAAGATCCCTTGAAAAATTATATAAATGAAACTTGTATGTTTTGCATACTTCCTAAAACAATATATGAAAGTAATGAGAAAGTGGCCACTTTCATGAGTAAATCATATAAGCCTTATACGATTCACTATATGAAGCAAGCCAA